CCAAGCCAGGAGTACTCTCCCCATCTGACCCACCCAGCAGCTTAAAAACCTTCATCATGAAGTGCTCTCTGTAAAGCCCAGCTCTTCAAACCCTTCTATGGGGTTTTAGGTATTGGCTAGTGGAGTTTTCCAGTAACACCAGTCTGGGACTTCAGCTCTGTCTGACAGCAGTAAACACCAAGTGACCTGACCATCAGCAGCTTTGGAATTACCATTTCTCCTAGAGGTGCTGCAGCTGCACTTACTGACCAGCCTCACCCCCATATCCTCTCTCCAATAAGATTCATCTCAAGATGTTTCAGCTGTAAAACCACCCAGAGGCTACAGGGCTTGTTCTGAGGGTTCAAAATCACAAGCAAGTCATATTTACCTCAGTCAGTGCTCGTGGTGACAAGAGGCTGCTGCTGCCTCAGTCCTCAAGAGTTTTTAGAGTTCAAAGTCTAATGCATTGGAAAAAAACAACTAAACCCACAACTAATTTTTAGTTTGCAAAGTAGCCATTAACTCAACGGAATGTTTTGCCAAATGCCAGCCCTAGAGAGGCAGATACCAAGCACTTGTACTTCTAAGAAGCCACTGTAGTTGTGAGTAAGGGTTTGTTCAGCTCTGCTGGGGCAGCTCTGGCTGGTTAGAGAGCTAAGAGAGCACAGAACTGCTCAGGCAGTGCTGCTAGAAGTAGAAACACTGTGAGGATAAAGGAGGCACAACCTCGCCTGGCTTTGTGACAATCCTGAGTTTCTCTAGTGGCAATAAACTATTGTCTAGAATTGAACAACCCATCTTTGTGAAGAAACCTCCTTTGTTTCTTCACAACAAAAGGACATCTTTGTGAAGCCACCAGAAGTACTTCAACAGCACTGAATGCCAGATTTCAGGGGGAATGGTTAAAACCTCCTTTTTTTCACTCTTCTCTAAGCATCTCCCAGGAAAAGGTGTCACCTCATGAGCTCAGCAGTGTCCCACCACAGCCTCTAACAGCCAGACAGAAACACCAGCACAACAGCCATGGCACAACACCCATTTCATACCAAGGGAAAGCTGCCCCACAATGACACATGCTCCTTTTAACTGAAAGATTGGTTCCTCCTCTTGAAGTGTGCCTTTGAAACGCCTCAGCAAAATCAAACTGGAAACCCCAAATCCATCTTACAGCCACTGCTTCAAGACAAAGGTGCTGTACATCTGCTACCACAGACAATTTGTTACCTGACGTTGATCAATGCACCCAAATCCCACCACACCAACCCCTCATCTCAGAGACTTCCTAGAGCTCCACACGTACAATTCCAGCCCCACAAGGTTGAACTGTGCTGGGCACCCTTAGGCAGAGGGAGGTCCACCTGCTCCTTGAGTTTGACCCATCACTTAAGATCATCAGAAAGGTACAGATGTGACAAATCCTGCTGGAAAAAAAACACCCAAGCAGCAGTTGCTGGAGACATTGGCACTCTCAGGGTGTCTTTTTTCCCTGCTCCCATGCTGGAGTCAACAAATGCCAGCGTAGCCACTACCCAGCGTCGGCTGAAACCAGCAGCTAACATTTCCCTGCCACAGCAGTAATCCAAGCTGGGCTCTCAAATGCTTCCAATGACAGAGATCCAGATTTTCCTAAGCATTCTGAGGTTTAAAAGATCCTCGGGGTGAGCGATGGTGTCCAAGTGCTGAACACACTTCCCCCACGAAGGCCTCCAGCTGGCAGGAGGCACCTCTGCTGTCTGAGGATTTCTGATAACACCAGAAGTAGTGAATGGATTTTGGAGTGCTCCTCTGAGCAGCTCCCTCTTCCTCTTACTTCACCACTCATCTCGCAACCCTGAGGTCACAGAGAAATCCAAATCCAGTACTTGGGTGTTTCCAGGGCTACATTTTCACCCCTCTTCCTCCCTGCAGCCAGATTTGCTTCTGGAAGTACCAAGAGTGAGGTGTCCATGAACAGATATATACAAAGCAGCAAGGGGAAAAGCAATCTATGAGCAAAGTTACCCCTAAGAAGTTGCAGAGGCTCCAAGCTGGAGGCTGTGCAGCATCAACACGCCTGAATTTATCCCAAACTGGGCTTCAAAGAGCCAAGACAAGTCTCTGAAACCTGCAACCCGAGGGTGACTGGGATTTGCTGGCAGCTGGTAGGAGAGCTGTCCCTCTGCTCTGCCCACGAACACCCCAGTGCCAGGGAAGATCACAGCTATGCTGAAAGCCAGACTAAGAACATTATTCTTCAACAGGAAGCTGAGACATCATCACTATGGTTGGAAAGGACCTCTGGGATCATCAAGTCCAACCTTCATGAACACGTAATGCTCGGTCTACAGGGTCAGGCTAGACACTACATGGTTTGAGGTAAGAATCCCACTATCTCCAACACTAGCTCAGTATAGCACCAGTTTTAGCAACGCTGGAAGCCTGAGGCTAATCCTACTGGGTTTTTTAGCCATTGGTCACGAGAGCAGCAGCCCCAAGAGGCTGAATCAAGCAGGCACCAGTCTGTACTGTGAGACCCAGAGCACGTGCTGTCCTGCCAGCAGCTCTCCTGTCACTAAGGTAGTTCGATTGTCGGTCCCAAACCAATTGAAGAAGATTTTGGATCAAATTGCTTACACTGCCAGGGCAAGCAGCTGTACCAGCTCCTAGAGAAGAACCTCAGATGCTGAGGAAGATGGGAATTCGTGTGGTGTGGGGAGAGATTCAGGCAGCACAGGGCTAAGGCCTGAAATCTGCATCTGTTCAATAAAGGCTATTTCTACCCCAGGAGCTATTTCCAGTTAATACCAGCCACTGATGTTACTGCATTAACAGCATCAATTCATGCCACATTAAAACACTTTCTTGGCACAATTTATTTTTTCTGACCCAAACAAAGAAGCCATTAGCAAGTCATTAACAATATTCTACCCTAAATTGTCAGTTTAACAGCCCTGTAAAAACAGTTTTTAGTTGAAAAACAAAAGTGTGCATGCTGTTGATATTAAAACTGCAGTTACTCTTTTCAGGAGTACCAGCTGTTTTGTTGCAAAGCGTTTCCAACATACTAATCTGTACAGTAAAGACCAAAAAAAACCCAACTCAATCGAAGGCAGTAGATGGCTGTGTTAGGTGCCACGGGCGGCTCGGTAACACCATCTGAACTTCTTGTACACTTCCAGATAACAATATTCAAGCCCTTTTTGTGAGAGTTTGGTTCAGGCCGATCAGCAGAGAGTAAGAAAGTGTTGTACATTCGTCTCTAAGTTGAAGTGAGCTGAACTGGTGTCATTTAGGCTCGATTCCAGACGCTGGGTTTCAAGCCACTTCTTGAATAACGCCTCTGGGCTCTTCCTTTACACGGGGTTTTTCACGTCAGGATCACTGGCACTGCTTTTGGCCTTGCTGCTCCACGCTGAGGAGAGCGAGGAGAACAAGCAAAGGAACAGAATGGGATCTTAAAACGAAGAGCTTCTTGCCAAAGCAGCAAGGATACCATTCCCCCTTGTCCCGGGCTCCATGGATATTTCTATCGGATTTTTGGATTGTAAGCGCTTCTCGGGAAGAGAGAAAACTCTGGAACAGTGAGTATTTATTAGGATATTTCTTGTTAAATAAAGAGGAGGAAAAAAAAAAAAAAAGGGAAAAAAAAAAAGAGCACTGCAGATTTAATTTCACATCTTGGCTATGCTCTGACAAAGGAGAAGTTACTGAATTCAGCAACTACTTCTTGTCCCAAGCCAGGGATTAATTAATGCCCCTCCCAAAACTTGTACCTGTCCCAACCCACCCCCCAGCCCCAACCCTTCCCATTTTATTTCCCAACTAGACAACACTGTTGGCAAATCAAGACAGCATGAAACTTACATCAATAAAAACAACAACAACAAAAAATAATGATGTGAAGCGTGCCAATGCATGGGGGGAACTATCCTATGGAACGGTGAGCTCCTCCAACCAGCAATCCTGCTCGGGAGTCAGCGGTACCTTTCACAGAGGGAGAGTTTAAGCAGTTGGAGCACGCTCCATGGTGCAATTGTAAGTGCTGCAGAACCACAGGGTAAGAGATTGAACACCTGAATTTTCCCCCCAGGGCTTCTTTTCAGGGCCGCACGCAGTGGCGGAACCCAGGGTTCGCGCGGCGACGCTCAGCGAGCACAATCTGAGGCTTTAGCACAAATCACAGGGCTCCAGTTCAGCGTGGTGTAAGGCATGTGGACAAGAAGAGGCGCCAGCAGGACGCAGCAGGATCAGCAGAACAGCACTCCAGTTTGTCACCCCGCTCTGAACCCCTGATCCCTACCACGGGCGATGAAATTCAGTCGCTGTCGTAGCCTTTTCTGTGAGGCTGGTTTTGGCCAAGTGTTAAAAGACCAACTCCTTTTTTTTCCTTTCGTTTCCATGTAGATGCAGAAACATTGGCAGAAGCTGTAGGAGAAGCAACGGAGCAGCAGGGATGTCTGCAGGTGAGCAAAACTCTGCCCTCAACTTCAAGTGTCACTGCACTAAACGGGGAGATACTGAACGGGGAGTAAACTGGCCCAGCCACTAGCACTGTCACAGAATGTGTATTTGTTTTTTAAAAAAAAAAAGAACAAAAGGCAAACAGATTAATAATGAACTCTTCTTTCCAGAAGCAGACCAGGATTAACACACACACAAAAAAAAAAATTCCTGCAAAATGAAAATGTTAGATCCTCCATCTAAAAAAAACAGTTTATACATGTGTGCTGAAAGCGACCACCCCACAGGTCTGAACAGCACCATACAGTACAGACTAAGACTTAAAGAGCTGATCTCACATTTGAAGTCTTTTAATTAAAAAAAAAAAAAGAAAAAAAAAAGAAAAGAAAGTGGCTATGGCTGGGATGACACGAACGGGACACTTCAGAACACAAGGCAGAGGCCAAACTGGCAGCCTCGCTCGCCAGGCCATGGAAGCAGTGTCAGGGGAAAGGGGCACTTCATGCACAAAATGTATTTTACAAAATACAGATCCAAAAAAAGCCAAAAACAAAACAAAACAAAAACAAAAATAAAATAAAAATCCCACCTTGCACTAAATTTCAGCACTCCTTAACACTCGCTCTGCCACAGGCTGCTGCCCATGCCTTGTTGGGTAGAGGAGGCGTGTGAAAAAGGGGAGGGGGGGAAGGGAAATCCATGTTTCAGTCTATTTTCTCAAAATTTCTCTCAGAGGGACGTCTTCAGTCATCTGATGTCAGACATGGAGCTCTCAGAGTACGTCGTGGTCATGACAGGAGTGCCGTTGTTTGCCAAACAACCTTGCCTCAAGGTTTCAAAATAGGAGGCCTGCACTGGTTTATGATACTGCAGAACTTTTATGGCATCTTCTATCTTAAACCATTCCCTTTTCCTTCCTGGGGGTAAAAAGGAAAATCAGTAGATGCAACAAAGTGCTGTTATCCTTTCTGTGTTTAAACACTCCTGCTGATAAGCTTTCAGTGACTGCACTGCGCAGCCCAGTGCCAGTTCAGAAGCCACTGGGAAATTTTCTCTTGGGATTCTCTAATCCCAAGGGCCACTTGCTCCCAGCACCACCCTGACAGCTCCTCTAACCCCAGGACAGGGACCCACTTAGGGCAGTACATCCACTGTCCAAACAAACCCGTCTTGCATTTCAAAATTCAAAACCAAACCAGCCCATCACATTTATTTTGCTATTTTTGCAACTCCTGCTCAAGTCAGACACTCATTTTAAGACAACCCACAACTACCACCACCCAATTTCCATCAGTCTGCAAGTGAACCTCTATTTTGGGTGGACAGCACTCATTTAGAATCATAGGATTGTTACAGCTGGAAAAGACCTTTAAGTTCATCAAGTCCAACCTAACTCTGCCAAGTCCACCACTAAACCCTGTCCCTCAACACCACATTTACACATCTTTTAAATACCTCCAGGGACGGGGACTCCACCACTGCCCTCAGCAGCTTGTTCCAATGTTTGACAACCCTTTTAGTGAAGAAGTTTTTCCTAATATCCACCTAAAACTGAGGCCATTTCCTCTTGTCCTACTACTTGGTCCTTGGGAGCAGAGCCCCACCCCCACCTGGCTCCAGCCTCCTGTCAGGGAGTTGTTGAGAATGAGGAGGTCTTCCCTGAGCCTCCTTTTCTTCAGGCTAAAGGAGGCTGAGGAGACACCTTACACCCCCTGCAACTACTCTTTCCATAAAAACTCCTCTGTCAAGAGCCTGAGGGAAGTCAAGTTACAGGTACAGTGCTACTGACAAACCTCCTGCAGAACACATGTTCACTTTCATCTGGGAATCTGATTTAAGCACAAAGATTTCAAAAGAGAACGGGCAACGATTCATCCACATTGCCCACAGATATCTCCTGCTAGTCTTAGCACAGGCAGCTCTTCATGCTCTTTGCTTAGCATCTCCAAGTGCAAGAATTAAATACAAAACACAACAGAGGCAGCTGTACAGCTCAATTTACTTCTCTTGAGCCACAGAGGCATCAACTTGACCAGACTTTTTTTTTTCCCCAAGCAACCAAAGGCCACACCCTTGCCATTTTTCTCCACCATTCTCACTGACAAGGATTCCAGGTCCAAAGGGATGCTAAGGTGTTGTGTTTTCTTTGCATCAAACCAGTTAATGCTAGACAAGCACAAAGAGCTTACCAATATTAACAGAGTCCTCCCAGTCTTCCAACACTTCTGTGACGATGAGTACGTAAACATAAGTCCTGTGTTTCCTGTCCCGGTTCTGCAAGGCAAAGGGAACAGTGATGACAAAGCTACCCAAGGACAAGAGGCAGGTGGGCACATGGTGACTGAAGTTGTGAGCTGCCTCACTAGGATGCTGTGGTGCTTCGTGTGCAGTTTCTCTCACACAGTTTGTTTTTAGCTATTAAAAATTGGTGTGTTTTAAAGGAGAGGTCTGAAGGTACTCATAGGGATTGCAGCCAAGTCTAGCCCCCAGTCCTTAAGGCAGTGTTTGGAGGATGAAGAGGCTTATAAATCAGCTCCTCAGCTGGAAAAAAACCACCCAGGGAAGATGTTTATCTACTTCACACAACTCTGAAATAGTGAAAAAACAGCTGTAAGGAGAGCTGTGTCCAGTACCTGCTGACCATGAGCCTTCACCACGCTGGGGAAGCCAGCTTGGCAAGGGGTGATGGCAGGTGCCAAAGGAGAGCTGCTGCTCCCTGCCTGGTGAGTGGCCTGTTCTGGCAGCAAGAAAGGTGGGAAGGCACTGACAATATTCACTTCACACTGGCTTATCACTCATGATTTCCACTGAAGTGGAAATCACAGGTGGCCAGTATCACCAAAAGGATGAGCAGGTATTTTTATTGAAATGGGGAGGTTTAATTTTTCTTTCAAACAATTTATCTACTTTTACTTCACGACAAACTAGGAAGTAATTTTACTCCAAGACAATTTTTTACATCAAAATTTCACAGCCTCCATGTCTGAAACTTACCTCAAATATTCCCACTAATCTTCCTAACGTCCCTTTCACTCCAGCCTATGAAAAATTCAAAGAGAAAAAAAGAAAACATGGTTTAACAACAGGTCAGTACACATTTCCTTACGTGTTGTGCAGGAGCAGCTCCTTTAGAACAGGAAGCAAATGCTGCAAAATTCTGTTAAGCTGAAAACAACACGGTCACAAGAAAAATGACAGAATAATATCACGAGCTCTAACCATGCAGGCACTGCCAAGAATTTTTTTTCTTCTTTTTCTATGTTCAAACAATTTTGAATTTTCAATCTGGAGGGAAAAAAAAATTGAAGAGGTACTAATTGCCTATCAATATATGCTGAATGACCAGAATTTCCTCTAAAGGTTATTATAGTCCAAACGTGGATAAAATCTGCTTCAAGTTCAGCAGTTTTATCGCTTTAAAGTTATTTTCTAAAACTATAATTTTGAAGTCTCTTTAAGACATCCATTTACACCATCAAAGCAACATGACAGGTACCAAGTATTCAGGGGCGTTCTGCAAACATTTGAAGCAAACAAATACAACCATGAAATACTCCCAGTGCTGTGATGTGGGCTCCAGAGCAGGACTGTGTTTGACAGAGCACAAAATGCAGATGCACATTGAAAGACAACATTTGAATCAAGCACAGACAAATCAAGAGAAGATCTAAGCAACCATCTTGTCTTTTCTTTGAATATTACCAAGGATCTACCCACTTTATCTCATTTGCTGTCACTTTTTATACATCTATTCACTGCTGTGGCCCAGACACCACCTCAAAGTGCTGTTTCTCTCCTCTGCTCTCTGGTGTTGCATCATTCACACGTGCCAAACGCTATCCTGCTCCTCTGCCCCCAGACCCCTCCTTTTCTCCCCAAATATTTTACATTTCCTTCCTTTTTATGGCTGTAAATGGTTGGAACTCAAGAGCTACAGACAAGATGAGAATTAGCTCCATGACTTAACTGGTCTGAAACACCACACACAACCTGACACACAGCCCAGCTGCCCTTGGAAGGTCAATTCAGCTGCTGTCTGGCAGCTGGAACACATCCTGAACAGTTGAGGATCACAGTGTCTCTGCTCTTTGCAGTTTAGAGATATAGATCTGATTATATCAGGCTTTTTTTAAAAAAAAAGATGTTTGGGTGAGGGCAATTAAATATTTAATAAGGCATATCCTCTGTCTTGAGCAGCTCAGATACATCCTTTCCCATTTGTTCAGTTACCAACCATTTGCTGTACAGTCATAGGCTTGTAGAAAGGAAGAACTTTTATTAATGAAAAGATTTTACTTCCTAAGCCTACTAAATGAACATATGTGGATATCAAACAATATAGCCAGAGCAACCTCACTATTGCTTCTAATGACAGAACTGCCCCAAGAGAACAGGATTTGTAGCTCCTCCCCCTACAAGCATTCATAGAAACCCATGATTCTTTCTGTAACATGCTCCCTGACCTCTACTTCTAGGAAGGAGCCTTTCAACTGAAGCTTTTATGTTGGTTTTGGATGCAAAATTTATTGTCTCATCAATATTTCTGACATTCTGCTCAGCCCACAGGTGGACCAGTGCCTGTTAACCACAAGGCTATTTCTGGAGTCAAACAGCAATTCCATGAAGGTCAACGCACGCCTGCATGCACACCCCAGCGTGGCCAGGACAGATAACTGCTTCTGACCTTTGGGGAGGAGTGATTTTACCTCATCTGCAAAGCTGCTGCTGCTAACCTGGACTCATCTCTCGCAGGAGTGAGGCGTAAGGAAAATATTTCAAATGAATTTCATTCAAAGAAACACATCAGCAGCCTCAAATGGTGGGTTTGGGTTTGGTTTGGGAGGGTTAATTTTATTTTTTTTAGGTAAGCAGCCATATCAGTGAGCCAGCAACAACCCAGTGAGGAACACGAGGCTTCCACCTTCACAACACACAGAAATAAACCTATTAAAAGGTGAAGTGTAATCAAATGTTTCAGGTAAGTAACTGTCTTAAGCCAATTTTCTTCACTTGTTCCTGGAGGAGGCTGTTGAATTTCTGCTCTCCTTCCTCACCTGACCAGGCGCTGAATCAGAAGCCACAGAGGCTGCTGTGATGGTTTTGTGAACTCTCAAGCCTAACTAGAAACAAATTTATCTCCAGGCAACTAGCCAGCCTGGAAACTCAGCCTGAATACTGCACAAGCAGCCTCCCCATTTATCCCCAGCTCTAAAACTGTGCTTGCAGTAACAGAGGCAGGTGAGAGGCTCTTCCTTCTGTTCTGGTTAAGTAGAGAGGCGATGGAAATAACGCTCTGCCTGCAAACTGAGATCATCCTTCTCTGTTCTGCCTCATCTTCTTCACCCAAAAAAGCATAAAAAGCAATGCCAAGACAAACACGAGCTGTAGGAAAATCACGTTGAATTATCATAATTCAGACTGAAAAAAAGTCCTAAGGTTTCCTTCACATAGGAATTTACAGCACACAGCAGCAAATGGTGACATAAATTAATGGCTTGAATTTATAAAGAGTCCTTGCCAAAGACTGCAAAGCACATCAGCCACTACAGCCTGGAGATCAACAGTGCTCTCATCCTGTTTTACTGGTATAGTGCATTTTAAAGACAACATATAGGACTTCTAACACAGACCCACTGGATTTTTAAATATCTATTTTTGATAAAACACTTAATTCACACACAAACGTCTCTGCAGAGTGATGTACTTTGTTTAGTGGAACAAACATGGAATTCCAACTCCCAGTTTCACACAAGTTTTTAGATAAACGTTGCCTGAGACATGCAAGAAAATATCTATAGCTGCTATCACTAACAAAGCAAGCCAAATAACAAGCAGCAAAACTGCCAGACTCCCCCTCGAGCAAGCTCCATCCCTCCTGCTTCCTACAGGCCAAACCCTCAGCACCTTCCCAACCCATCCTCACTGCAGGACAATGAGCATCTTCTTGGAAAATCCAAAGCATAGCCACGGGCTCATGCAGGGTTGAAGCTGGTTCTAAATCCTAATTTGCACCAGATGACTCAGGAATTTTCTCCTCGGTAGTAAATAGACTGAGAATCCTCCACCCTCGTGGGCCACAACAGTAAATGTCTGGCAGAGCCAGCACGATTTATTTGGGTACATGTTCCCCCACCATGCACTGGAAGTGCTGCACAAGGAGCCTGTGCTGCCATCCTCAAAATACACACGTGCCCTAGGAGGAGACTATTCAGCTATCAGCTAGGGGTAGGAGAGCACCAGCACCAACTGTTCCATCTGGAAATAAAGCAGATCAATCCAACGACAGCACTCCCCAAGAAGAGGCACACTCAGATATAAAAGGACAGACAGCTTGCTGAATGAGCTTCTTTTCCACTGCTCTGCAGATCCAAAGGAGTTTCCAGTGTCTCAGGTTGTCCTCGCTGGAGGAACAGATCTGGGAAGTGCACCCATGCCAGAGCAACAGCCACCAGCTCCACAACAGCTCAGGACTTCAAACCCCTGCTGCACACCCAGAGGGCTGGGCTGGGCCTCCAGGACAAGCAGCAAAAAATCTGGAGGAAATGAAGCTTTACTAGTTCTGCTGCTCTTGGAACAACTTGTTTTAATAAAGAAAAATTACTGGAGACATCCAAGAACAGCAGGTTCAGGTTTCAAAGCTGAAAATAAGTTCGGGTCAGATGCAAAAAGCAGCCTGCAGCAACACCATCTGTTCATAGGGACAGCTTTTATTTCCTTCCATCTGAGCTAAGGAAAATGTGGGTTGGAATTTCAGCTATTTTACTTTGCTCTATTAGGCTCAAAGCCTGCATCTACTACAGATTACTGCTGGGCAAGAGGGCTGTGGTAAAACACTCAGCTCTGCTCTAACCATTGCAGTACTGAAGGCAGTAAATCACACCCTGCTAGCTTGGACAAGTTCTAAAGATGCCAATTATAGACCTGCCAGGCAAATTTTCTTGCTGTCTCTGCTGTGTCACAGGGAGGGTTATACTCCTCATCTAATTCTTCACTGCGTTACAACAAATATCTGCATTCACATTTGTTAAACTGAAATTAAATACAATGGCAAAGCAAAGAACTTTAAGATACTGCACTCATTTTTATGAGGTTTGAGTACCCAGGGTAACAACAGTGAACTTGGTTGACCACTTGCACTGAATATTACTAAATCTAGGAAGAGTTAAAGGCCTTCAAATCACTCATTCACCCACTGTCCTAGTGATACTTCATAAAAAAAGTATTCCTATTTTAGCACTGAGAGGTATCAATATTCATATTCTAAATCACTGACAAAATACATGAAACAGATTATTTATAAAACATGTTTAAGAAAGAAGAGAGGAAAAAAAAAGGTCTAGCATCCACATCAAAGCACTATCACGATGGACTGGGTTTGATATTGGCATCAATTGCCTGTTTGATCATTGATCAAGCACAATTCATCTGGCTTGTGATTCCCATGGAGAAAGCAAGACTAACAATCCCATAATTTTATAGAACTTGACATTTACCAAGTATTTAAAGGTCAGGATGGGACAGATGCTGTAAGTGAAAAATGAAATGCCTTTGGGTTTAACAGATGAGCGTGGAGGCTTTTTTCAAAGTCACTCTACAATAAGTTTCATTTAAGGCAGCTATTTCTAAAGCATGTTCCTCACTGGTTGCTCACACACAAAAAAAAGTTATTCCTAACACAAAATCAATTTTGGGCAGAGAATGCAACAGCAAAAAAAAAAATATAAGAATGAAGATGCAAAAAATACACTACATTGGTGTTAAGGGCTGTTGTTAAAGGACACATCATCTCTCTAGAAGGTGAACCTGAGAAGGTACCTGGAGTTCACAGCTGTGTAAGACTGACTATACCATTCTTCACCAACCTCTCAGAAATAAGTAGATTTATTCTGAAAAGGCTGCTCTCCTTCAGAGCCAGCATGCTTGTCTCCTGCCACTTTGCCTAAAAACAATGTCCAAGAACTCAAGTCACTTCAAATTTTATGCAGACAACAGCAAGCATGACAAGTGTTGGTACCTGTCTACTTTAATACTTCTGCTGGTACAGATTAATATAGATAAACTAGGACAAGGGCTTCTAACACAAACTGGGACAGAGAGATCACAGGTTTCACTCAGAATCAACATCTCATTTTCAGAACAGTCTTCTAAAAGTTTGAAAATCAGGAAGAGGGAAAAGTCAAATTTCTTTATATGACATTTATTCCAGTAGTAACATGGATAAACTTAAACACCAACGCAGTAAAATTAAAGCAGTGAATGCAGAAGTTAAAAATCTTAATTTAGGGAAGCGTATTTAAAAAAGAAAATGTGTACTATGCAAACCAGAATGAATTGAGAAAAACCAGCCTATTGTCATCTTCAAAGGCCACATGGAACTGAAAGGGTAATGAGTCCTTACAGCTCTTCCAACTGTCTCTTATTAACATGGAAAAGGCATACCAAAGTCAGTGAAAGAAAGCCCACAAACCTTCCACAGCTTTGACCAGCATGCAAACCACCTGCTTTTAGGATAAAAATGACTGTGTTCCTTGACACAGAGGAAACTGGATTGTCCCTCTCCCCACACAAGCAGCAGACTCTACCTGCTCAGCTAACCTGGTTCCTTTGTGAGGGACAGAGACACGCCTGTCCCAGGAGAGAAGCAAAGACATCAAACCTACTTGAAACCAGCCTCAGCTACAACCCACCTGTAAAAGCCACGATCCACGTGGCAGGACAGGCAGGGATTACCAGCTAGCACACACACCCCTTGCCCAGCAGTGTTTGAAAACACCTCCTCTGAAATAATCAACAGCACAAGCTGGGAAATGGGGCACACAAATCCTTCAGAGCTCTACCAGAACAACTGCACCCACCTTCCCCAGCAGCACTGGCCAGTAAACAGCTCGCTGAGCTCTGGACACTTGATGTGTGCTATCATTTGGTGTGCAGATCACAAGCAGTGCACTGGGACACACACCTATTTGAGGAAAGCCCTGCACAGCCAGCAGCTGGCCTGGGGTCTCCACCCGTGTCACCCAGCCTCATCAGCAGCCCTGGGGGCACTCGAGGGGTGTCACACACACCCCAGGCTGCTCTTCAGCAGAGGGCTCTCAGCAAACACCCGAGAGCTCCGTTCTGGACTCCCAGCCTGCTTTTGCAGCACAACACTGCTGGGTGTGGTGGAGGTGTTGGGGGTAATCCTGCTGCTTTTGGAGCTCCTCCTGTTTACTGTTTGTGGAGCAGATAGGTGCTGTGCTGGGAATGACTCAACCCTGCCAGGCTGCCACGGTTTGAATTACACTCTCATTCGGCACCGGTCCACGTGAGCGAGGGAACACCAGCTGAGCGAAAGGGGATTATCTCAGCCAGCCCAAACCAGTTTCTTCACAGCAGACTGAGCCCATGCCAAGGTTTCCTTTCAGCCACCGAGCTGTCATGGAAAGAGAGCGACTCCTCCGAGGTGCTGGGCTGCCCGAGGGAGGGAGGGTCCATATGGATTTATTTTAAGGATTTGAAAGGCGAAGGCGTGCACCTCCTGAATGAACCCTTGACTTCTAGATCAAATCACTTCGTTATTAATAATGATTGGGTTGTAAAGCAGGAGGCTGCAGCTAGAAATATTTCTATTGTTCTGCTTAAACTCACTTTGGCTTGTAATGTGTTTGAAAGATTGCCGAGCTACTAAAAAAGCAGGAGCTGTGTTACAAGCTGGGAACAAAATTTGCAAGCAGCAGTTCCCAGTACTAGAGGGACTTAAAGACACACGCAAAAAATTACCTTTGACTGCATAATCTTTCATTTCTTTCTGATAAACTTCTAGATTATAAAATCACCCAAAGAGAAACACACAGCTCATGAACTGCCACATAAGATTAGTCCAAAGGCCCAAATGTTCAGCATTTTGTTAAGAGAGCAGCACTTCCAAGTACTTCAGAGAAAAACCTTCACATACCAGACAATTAAATAAAACAGCTACTGGAGAAGTTTCCTCCCAAGTCTCATGAATTAGTTCTTGAATTCTGTTCCACAGCACAAACATTTATAACCCTCTTGAAAGCATTTTAAATCCTGCCTTATATAACTGTGAACCTACTTGGTCATCCATATATAATCATTTAATCGTTTCGGAATCCAAGCAGCTTTACAATTTGATGATATTCAGAAGAGAATTCTGAAGACATGTTTTACACATAATGTAGTCAACTGTCATTTGCTGTCTTTAAATTCCTTATGAAGAATAACATTTTCTTCCAGTTTTAAGAGAAAAATATGCCTTCTCCAGACAGATCATCAAACTATGTTTGATCTCCTTTCTGAAACAGCTTCAAGTTGAAAAAAACAAAAACAGGAACACACTAGGAATAACTTATAACTGCTTATAATAACTTGTAACTGCTTATAACTATTATGATCAATTTCTCTTATTCACATAAAACTCAAAATATGTGCTAGACCAAAGCATACAGAGGCCCCTGTCTTTGGAGTGTCTCTAGGGGTTCATAAGGTCTTATTTCTCCCTTCTACCCAAGTATTAGAAAGCTCCACAAAAGCACAGCTGTTTTTTGAAGTTCTCTTAAGAAACTGTTCTTCATGCAGAGAAAACAAAATGGAAACTATCATTGTATGTGATAGTCAAAATGACTATAGTGTAATTTTATCTATTTTCAGTTAAAGGTATCAGGCAGAGAAAGTTCACTCTGCCCGGGAGCGTTAATTACATTCCTAAGCTATCTTTATTTAGGACTCTGGCCTGCCTCCCACGTGTGATGCAGGTGTCACCAGTGACCCTATATTCCGCTTCCCCTGGAGGAAAACAAGCAGGAGTGGTACAGCCAAACTGGCAGAGCCCTGGCTGACTGGCAGAGAAGCTCCAGGAGCTCCCACTCGTGTCCAGCACTCACCTCCTCGCAGACCTCTCGCGCGGCGGCCACGCTGGGCTCCTCCTCGGGCTCCATGCCACCCCCAGGGACGATCCATCGGTCAGGATGACGACTACTGCTCACCAGCAGCACCTGCAGAGAGGAGAGGAGAGGAGAGAGCTGCTGATGTGGGACTCCAGGCCACACTCCTTTCCCCAGCCCAGCTGAAGAGGAGAAGCTGTCTCTGCATCTCTCACACCTCCGACCATGACAGCTCCAACGCCAGTCCTCAGAAAGACTCCACTTTTTCCAAGATAACCTCCCTTGCCCTGTTCAGCCAGCTGTACAAACTACATTATCAGTGACACTGAGGCACTCCAACACTCCAAATTATTTCAAACATTACCTTCTAGCTGCTCCAGCGTGTCGTGGAATAAATTCTGCCTCTGTATAGCAGAACGATTTGCTATGTGATACAGCATCACAAATGCTCACAGTGTAAGAGTTCACTCTGTACTCAAAGCCACTACGTAGTCTCGACAGCTTGGGATACACATCCTGCAACAACATAAGATGGCACAGAAGCTGCTCAGCACCTTTGCTCCTTCCAGAAGTAGCTTGATTTAACTTTATTGGTACCTTCGGCCTTGTCTGCCACAGTTACACCAGTGGCACACACAAGTCAGGTAACAGCCCACTGAAATATTTATGTGAAATTGTTTTAACAGAGATTTTCAGCTTCCCTTTCTGCCTCTCCTTTTTGCAGCAGGCACCACAGAGCTCAGCTCTGGAGCCAGCATGTGGTCACTTTTGTTTTTGATGAGGTGGTTCCATGAAATATAAGCCAAATAAGAGCCTGCACTAGATCATTTAGAAACCCCAGGAAAAGGCTGCAGAGAAGGACAAACTTTTTTGAATCAGGAAAGTGGTTTGACCATCTTCATGGGAATGATTTTTCAGAGGTGTGCTTTGTGGCAGTTCTTCTTGAAACACATTTTATTCCAGTGTAATTCTGCTCTGTGCAAGTCCAGGTTTTGTTTGGTCATCTTTCAGAAACAAAAAGCCAACTAACAGTCTCAACGGGCTCAAAATTTTCCCAAAGAATATCGAGACTCTTTGCTTATTAAATCTACTTGCAATACATCCATGAGCAGAGATGGAAACTAAAAACAAACCTAATACTGTTTTGCAGCTCTCTAAACAAAGCTTGTTCATTACAGTCATCATGCTATACTTCATCATTCCACTGGCACAAAGCTCAGAGCCAAAGCGACTTGCTCCAGAAACTTTCCAACATACCAGTCCAATTAGGTTACAGGCCAACTGTAACAGCTTCAATCAGACATTTCCAAGTTAAAGACACTAAAATCCCAGGCTCTGCTGTGTAAATGTTGATTTACCAGTAGGATATGAAAAGATTCGCACTAATTATCAAGAGGAAACCTACCTACAGAATGCAAAATTAAACTTCTGAAACAAAAACAAGGCGAAGATTTCCAGGGTTTCCTGGTTCTTTTATGTTTTCAAAATTCTCATCTGCCAACTGACCACCCTGCAAAGAGATTTTTTTCTGTTTTCCAGAGCCTACCAGACCACACTGGCTCAGCATGGGGCAAAGACTGGGGCCAACAGGCTAGAACACACCAGGGTGAGGGGACAAGTGTCAGTTGTGGGGGTCCAAACCACAGCTTTGAAACCACAAGCAGCAAAGCTTAAGGTAGAAACCAAAGAGGGATCACAACGAATACTCTGGCAACTGCTGGTCTAACCTTTCCTAAGCCTGGAACTAAACTTGGTGTTCTCAAGTGTCAGCACTCCTTTCATCAGCAACTGTGGATCCCACCAGTAATAATGTCTCCAGCCCTCCTCTTCCTGCTGCACTCAGAACCCACACCTCAATCCTCCAATGTAGGAAGAATCTCCCCCTTCAACTCTGCTCTGGTGAGACCCCACCTGGAATACCGTGTCCAGCTCTGGAGCCCCCAGCAATGAATGATGTGGACCTGCTGGAACAGGGCCAGAGAAGGGCCATGAAGATGGTCAGTGGGCTGGAACCCCTCTGCTGTGAGGCCAGGCTGAGAGTTGGGCTTGTTCAGCTTTGAGATGAGAAGGCTTCAGGGAGACCTTCTGGTGGCCTTGCAGTATCTGAAGGGGGCTGTAATAAAGCTGGGGAGGGACTTTTTACAAGGGCTTGGGTTAGTGGCTTCAGCTGGAAGAGGGGAGATTTAGATTAGTAATTAGGAAGAAGTTCTTCACTCTGAAGGGGGTGAGACACTGGAACAGGCTGCTCAGGGAAGCTGTGACTGCTCCATCACCAGAGGTGTTGGATGGGGTTTTGAGCAACCTGGTCTACTGGGAGGTGCCCCTGTCTCTGGACTAGCATGCCTAAGGTCCCTTCCAACCCAAACCATTCTATGATTCTAAGCATCATTTATCAAACAACCCTATTTAAATCCCTGAGCACTCCCTGATCTACTGAATTAAGGCAAATGAATTCTAGAAACTAAGCTGAACGAGCCCCCTGAATTCTGCCATTTCTTTATGGAGAGGCCACTACCTGACCATCTCCTGGCTCAGGCTGCAGTGACACAGCATTTACTTTGCAGGAATGTCCTGTGGTGTTTGACCTTCCTTCCCCACAAACATCAACGTGATCAGTAAGCCATGTCTGAGCAGGGAATGTAAACTTCATTCGTCCTCAGGACAGCAGCTGGGTGCCCTGGGCTGGGACTGCAAAGCCATGGCCAGTGGCCACCTCTGGTGTGCTGGAGTTTGGCTCCTGCAGGCTCAGCACACACACACTCTGCTGGCCTGTGTCATCTTGGTGAGGTGCTGGAGTCACCATCCCTGGAGGGGTTCAAAAAAATGTGTAGCCATGGTGCTTTGGGACATGGTTTAGTGGGAGTGTTGGGTGGACAGCTGGACTGGATGATCTGTGAGGTCTTTTCCAACCTTAATGATTCCATTTTATCACAGCACCTTTTCTTATCACCTTGTGAGACACTCTGAACTTCATCCTGACTCGTTACCAGTATGGCACAGAGAAGAGCTTGGGCTGCAGTTCCTATCCTGAGGCCAGCAGGTGATTCTGAGGACAAAGCTAAAAGTAACAGCCATTTCAAGTGTACGTTTTCTCACCAGGTAAGGAAGCATCCCCTCTCTCATTTCCAATTTCAATTCAGAGTTCCAGCTCAAAGGGAAAAAAAGGAGATTAAAAAAGCTGCAGAAGCAGCTCTTTGAATCTCAGCACAGCACACCTCATGCCATTGAACTCCTGCCACCTTCCACTTGTGAGAAAAAGGAGCTGCTAAGAAAAATCCCTGTACAAAGGCTGCCACAGGAAAGGCTGTGGGGCTGCTCAGACCACCACAATGCTGCAGCAACACACTACTAGGAACTTTTAGGTGTAAACAACAATTTTAGGCAAAGTAAATTGACTTCAGCTGTTCTGGCAGTTGAGCATTTTCTGAATAGAATTAACATGAACAACCCTGGCTGGGAAGGAAAAACCTGTCATTCTCACACTTTTATGTAATCAGACTATTTCCTGTTTAATAAAAAGGAAATCCCATCAAGAGAGAGCAGGAAACGTGTCCTGCAAGGTCATTCTTTTAAAACAGCTTTGAACAGGATATTGCTACCAACGAGCTCTCCCAAGACAAAGGAGCCCAGTTCAAAGGGAGGGTGAGACACTGGTGTGTGTGAAACCCCCACACAGCTAAAATAGTGTCCCAACACATCCACACGGAGCCAGTGAAAAGGTCATTACAATCCAAACCACAGGATTTGGGTGGGAAGGGACCTTTCAAGCTCATCCAGTCCAACCCCCTGCCCTGAGCAGGGACATCCCCAGCTAGAGCAGGGTGCTCAGAGCCCCGGCCAACCTCCCCTGGGATGGTGCCAGGGATGGGGCAGCGACCACCTCTCTGGGCAGCCTGGGCCAGGGGCTCACCACCCTCAGCAGCAACAATTTCTTCCTTCTCTCTAGTCTCAATCTCCCTCTTGCAGTTTCAAACCATCCCCCCTTGTCCTGTCCCAACAGGCCCTGCTCAGAAGTCTGTCCCCAGCTTTCTGACAGGCCCCTTGAAGTCCTGCAAGGCCACCAGAAGGTCTCCTTGGAGCCTTCTCCTCTCCAGGCTGAACAAGCCCAACTCTCCCAGCCTGGCCTCCCAGCAGAGGGGTTCCAGCCCTCGGATCATTTCTGTGGCCTCCTCTGGCCCTGCTCCAACAGGTCCATATCCCCCCTGGATGGATCCCATTCCTGAGGCCTGTCAACCCCACCACTTAGCTTGGTGTCACCTGCAAACTTGCTGAGGGTGCCCCAATCCCACTGTCCATGTCATTAAGGAATACTAAAACACTAACCAGCACCAGTCCAAGTACAGACCCCTGAGGGACACCACTTGTCACCCATCTCCATCAGGCCATTGAGACATTGACCACTACCCTCTGGATGCAACCATCCAACCCATTCCTCATCCACCAAACAGTCCACCCATCAAATCCATAGCTCTCCAATTTAGAGAAAAGGTGTTGTGTGGGGTGGTGTCCAAGAAATCCCAACAGATGACATCAACAGCTCTTCCCTTGCCCACTTACATGGTCACTCCATCAGAGCCCACTAGGTTGGTCGTGCAGGGCTTGTCCTTAGTGAAGCCATGCTGGGTGACTCCAACACCTCCCTGCCCTCACTAGAGCTTTTAGGAGGATCTGTTCCAGGATCTCCCCAGGCACAGAGGTGAGGCTGACAGGTCAGTAGTTCCTAAGGTCCTGTTTTCTACCCTTTTTCAATGCAATGCCTCCCTTTTTCCAGTCACCAGGGACTTCACTTGACTGCCAGGACTTTTCAGATATCAGGGAGAGTGCCCTGGCAGTTCCATCAGGAGTCTGGGATGCATGTCAAGATGTCCCACAGACTTGTGCATGTTGAGGTTCCCCAGATGGTCAAAACCTGATCTTCTCACAAGGCATATTTCATTGAACTTTACAAACTGCCCCAAAGCCAGCAGAGTGGAATCTGCTGAAAAAACACCTCTCTGGACACCAGTAATATTTGGGCAAAACGGTCCAAATGCTGTTTCTGAGATAAGAAACACTTTCCCCTGCAGAAACCTCCTCCCCTGATAGCTGGAGGGGTGAGTGTAAGACACCTG